AGAACAGTGTTTCCCAAACTTGACAATTTTAAGGCATGAGGACTTCCACTCCCAGATTTTTAAGGCATGAGGACTTGACAATTTTAAGGCATGAGGACTTCCACTCCCAATTTTAAGGCATGAGGACTTCCACTCCCAGAATTCCACAGCCAGCGTTGCTGGCTGTGGAATCCTGGGAGTTGAAGTCCTCATGCCTTAAAATTGTCAAGTTTGGGAAACACTGTTCTAGAAGAACATGTTACACCTCTGCTCCATAAGCTGCATTGATTGCCAGTTTGGTTCCAATTCAAGGTACTGCTTTTGACATTTAAAGCCCTTCAAGGTATGGGGCTGGGTTATTTGAGGGATCATCTCTCCCCCATTACATCTGCTCATCTCATTAGATCTGGCAAGAGAGGCATACTGTGTGTCCAGTTTCTCAAGGAACTAAACTTGGCGGGTCCAAATAAGTAGGACCTGGCACCTACCTTATGGAACATTCTTCCCACTGAAGTGAGGTAATTTTGCAGAAGTCCCTCAAGATCTCATGTATCATCAAGCCTTGTGGCTTCAGGGGACCAGTGAAATCTTGAGGTAGTTTCATTGCTGATTAAATCTTGTGGTTGTGTGTGTGTGTGTGTGTACTGTATATGTTTGTGTTTCCCATGTTTATTGTTTTTAAGTTTGTTTTGCTGTATACCACCCAGAATCATTCTTGTGAGTTGAGTACACATATAAATTTCATAAATACATTTAAAACAATAAAAATATCAATAAAATCAGAAATATATCACATACTGATGACCTATTTTTTTTCAGATCTATCATAAATACGTTTTTCTATTGGAAAAGATCTTCCAAAGTTGCTTAAGCTAAATTAGAAAAATCTGGGCTAAAAAGTTCAGTATTTTTGTTAATATGCTAATCAAAAAACTTAAATGGTTTTATGAAAAACACATTCTCTAGTAACCAGTATATTTCATTAAAAATACTTTTGTATTTTGAAACAACTAAGCATATACTGCATTTTAAGAATACAGGATCATAACTTCATTGCAATTAGCAATGACTAAAGCACATCCAATTTCCGTATTTGTTAGCTATCATAAACCTTTTGCTGAAAGACTTGTATCCAAAGTAAAGTTTCAAGTTTCTTAAGAGAATAGCAATAGAGTCTGGGAAAGAATATGCTGTCATCACCAGAACTATAGTCTGAAAGATTTTCAACAGGACAAACGTGGTTAGAATGCTTATTGAAAGCAGATACATATTATGAATACCAGGTTATTCATTATATGGTTTCTGTTACTTTATTTTCTAAGCAACTTGGAAGGACTGCTCGATCAGCATGATATACAGTGGAGATCTCACTGTTTTTTATAAACAGATGGAAACCTTCTATTCAGAGATCGAAATCTAAGCTAACTTTGAGATGAGCAAATGATACAAACTGCATTTTGAGGATCACATGAGTATCATTACATGGATTATACCAGAGGTCCCCAACCTTTTGGGCACCAGGAACCGATTCCGTGGAGACAGGTTTCTCCACAGACCAGAGAGTGCGTGGTTTTGTGTGCTGCCTGCATCCTGCGGATGGGGCTTTGCTTGTTTGTGCGGCCCAGTGGCTGGCATGCCGTGGCCCAGTACCGGTTGAGGACCAGGGGTTGGGGACCCCTGGATTATACAATACAGGTAGTCCTCAACTTATGACCACAATTAAGTCCAAAATTTCTGTTGTGAAACATTTGGTTAGTGAGTTTTGCCCTATTTTATGACCTTTCTTGCCACAGTTGTTAAGTGAAACACTGCAGTTGATAAGTTGTAACCCAGTTAGTAAGTGAATCTGGCTTCCCCATTGACTCTGCTTGTCAGAAGGTCGCAAAAGTGATCACATGACCTTGGGACACAGCAATGGTCATAAATATGAACTATTTGCCAGACAACTGAATTTTGATCATATGATCATGGGGATGCTGCAAAAGTCGTAAGTTCTTATTCTACTCTTCATATTGCCTCCAAATCTAGTGATTCACTTATATTTTACTGCTTTAAATTTGCTGGGGACAGTAAATTACCCAGCAGGAATGTCAAAACTATACAATGCAACTGTTGTCGCCATATCCTGTTGCACTGAATTTCGTCATCTCTAACTATGAAATTTGATTTTTCAGTATCTTCCAATTTTATTGAATCCTGCACAAAAGTGATGATCCATTCACTTTCGTGAAGAGTTGATTCAGTCTTACTATATGCATAAAATATGAGTTAGTGAAACTCATTAGTATCATTTCAGGCTGCACTTTAATCAAATAAAAAGCAATGTACGTGTAAAAATGCTGAAGTTAAAATGAATGTTCATTTTTAAGTAGAAAGAATTTTCACACTCAAACATTTAACAATAAAACATTTCATCAACCTTAAGAAATATAATCTAAGAGTGATTTTATCATGTTATCTGCCTTAGAGATATATTGAGAAATTGGCAGCCTTATCACTGCTCAGTCAGATTTTGAGATATGATAAAATAAAAAAAACCAAACAGGATTAGGTAGATATTGGAGAAAAAGAAATATGGTAATGTAATTTTTCAACTGTGAATACTATATGGCTTATTTTTTTAGACTGTTATAGCAAAACTTCTATATAAACTGTCATCAATAACTTATTTAGAAATATAAACATGCATACTAAAATATACTATGTGCTAATATTGTACTATTTTATTTTTATTCAATGTGGTTTTCTAATGTAATTTATCATTGCAGACTTCAGAAATATATATATTCTTCCTCTTTGGGTTTGGGCTTGCCCCTTAATTAAATATTTTTAGGTTACAAATAGTGTGTGTGCATGTTTTATATAATTATGTCATAAAAAGAATGCATAAGATCCTGATGTACAACTACTAATGTAAATTCTGTTTTCAATATTTCAGTTTTCACTGGCCCATCTAAAAGCAATCCTCTTAAAAATGTACAATTTGCAATGATTATAAAAACAAGATATAATTGTTTCTAGTAAGATTTAATAGCTCTTGATGTTATGATTGGCTTTGAATATTAATATTCATTATTTGCCTGGACATTGTACACTGAAATGGTCACAAGGTTGTTACAATAAACAAATCTTTCATCTTTGTAGAGGTTCTAGTTAGGAACTTTAAAAAAAAACTTAAAAATTTCCTAGAAGTCTTCAATTTCAGAAGTAATCACAAACACTGAGACTGAGAATTTATCACTTGAAACGTGAGCCTAGTTGCAAATACTAAAAGTAGGAAGGAAAGAAAGAAATATATTAGAATCATAGAATGGGAAGTTTAGACACAATACTAAAGAACTTCTGGTCCAATCCCTTTGCTGTGCATAAACTCACTACTAATTCACAGATCCATAGATCTACATTACATAGTTCACATTCATATTAAATCTGCACCATTTTTTCCTCAAACATGACCACAACAAATCTGATGATGGAAATAAAATTCAACTTAGGGAAGATTAACTCCCAGTTTTATTCCATTGTTCCATTGTTTATCGTTTGCATTATTCCAAATACTGTTCCCCAACAGCATCTTAACTCAGAATTCCTATTCCCCCATAACTCACAATGTCTAGAATCTCACAACATTCTGAAATCCTTTTGTGGTTACAATGCAATATTTGGTATATCTGCTTAAAACCTCATTTTTCTTCTGATCATTCAGTTTGGAAATTTACACAGTGGTAAGCAGTTATACTTAAGCATTCTAAAAATAATATGGGGTTAATCCATAGGAACTGCTTTGTTTACCAAAGCTGGAATCTGATCCCTAATCAATGCAATCTTTCAGTTTTCAGAACCTTCAAAATCACAGTTCTCACAATAATCTTCTCCAAAACAATACATTTTTATTTACTTGTCACAGGTGGTAATAATTTATTTCTATTAGGTTAAAACTGCAACTGGGTGAGCCTGTTTTAAAAACTCAAAAGAATGTTCACAATAGATTCATGGCTTAATACAATGCAGTAAATTTATCTTAGGTTAGAAAAAAAAAGAATGAAGAAGCGGCTGCATTTAAACCAGCCACACTCAAAATCAAAGATCTGGGAAGTATCGGGAGAGGTGCTTATGTTGCAAGTGAAGTAGGCAAGCTTTTTGTATCAGAAATGCATCAGGTAGAAGAAAGATATACGCCTTTAAAATATTCTGTTTGAACACTGAATGATATATGCCTCTGTTTCATGCTCATGAACCAAACATGTATCCCTTTCTTAAAGTGGTAATAAAGAAAAGTGAGTTACTCATCCTTGCTGCTTGTATTTGCTGTCTATTATCAACGAGCATATTTATCCAGCACTGGGTTAATTCCTTATCAAGAAACCGGAAGAAAAATTAGCTTGGATTTACCTTTGCTGTACACAATACAGTTGTTTTTGTTGTCTTCTACTCCTTGCCAAGTCATATCCAGCAACCACTTGGGGCCCGCAGTCAACACCATAGGGAGTGGAGCCTTTGCCTTCTGGGGAAAAAAGGCAACAAACATAGACCAGTAAGCTTGTGTTGATTACAAATTTACACGAAACTAGTAGCAATAACTTTATTTGTCAACTAATTCGATCCCCAAATCAAGAAACCTTACATCACGACTGACGGAGAAGGGCAAGAGAAAGAAGAGCAGAAGGAGAACAAGAAGAAGGAAGAGGGTTAGTGCTTTGATAAAAATGAATGGCAAAATTATTATTGAGGATTTTTCTGAATGATAGCACTGGATCAGATCAGATTAGACAAATCTCTAGTGGCTTAGAATTATAAAGGGAATGTAGGTGACTTTCACAGCAAAAAGCCAAGTGTTTAGAAATGAACTTTAGACACATTGTACTTCATTATCAAGAGGATCTCTATTTCCTGAAACAGACAGGAAAGAATTTAAAGAATCAGTATCCATTTCAAAGCCTGAGTAACATTTATGTTTGGTGGGAAATTATTCTGAATGGATAATGTATTTTCTCCCTTTTTTCTTCTTTGAAGCCAGTGCTTGCTTTTACTGTTGCTGAAATAATGATGATTATAAACTCCAAAAAGAAAATTAGCAGCCAGAATGAATTTGAATGACCAAATGAGAGAAGAGTGCATCATATATACCCTGATTCACAAAAGACTGAGAAACATACGTGAGTTTAAAAAACATTTCCTCAACATGTTTTCCATGGTGCAAGTTAGGACAGAAAAATTCAAATCACTTTTGCTCAAGTTCACTGCTAAATCTAAATGCGAGGAATGAACTGATCTAGAATTTAGAAAGGCTTATCCCCAGTTTTTTTTTTCAATGATGGTAGTAAAATGCTATTTAGACAGTTATCATTAATCATTCCTTGTTCTGCATATCAAACATCTTGAAACTATAACTCAAAGTGCAAAGTACAATGAAAAAACTCTCTAGGTAATAATCTAGCAGGTTTTTTTATTTTTTTTTAATATAGATATGGTGTTTTTCCAGAAGCTCAAGACCTGTCTTAGAAATTCCGTTGCAGTTTCTTTCCCTGATCTAGAAGTCAGAAGTATAAAGTTAAAGCTTAATCCTATGAGACTTTTGGACCAGCCAATGAGGACGAGCTATGAGGTGTTATAATCACACTTCTGCCCTAATGCTAAACTTTTAGGTAGTGCACCTCTGCCACTGTCAGATCAGGATACGACATAGAAATCTACTTGGTTTTCTCTACTTAAAATTTTTATTATTACAATTGGTCCTCAAGTTACAACCACAACTGGGACCACAATTGCCATTGCTAAGCAAGGCAATTGTTAAATGAGTCATGCTCAATATTACAACTTTTTTAGCCATGGCTGGCAAGCAAATCACTGAAGTTTTTAAGTGAATCATGCTAATGTTAAGCGAATCTGGCTTAAGCCATTGTTTGTCAATCACATGATCCCAGGACACCACATCTGTTGTAAATACATGTCTATTGCCAAACAACTGAATTTTGATCAGATGACCATAGGGATGATGCAAGGGTCATAAGTGTGAAAAACGGTCATAAGTCACTTTTTTCAGTGCTATTGTAACTTCTAAATGGTCACTAAACGAATGGTTGTAAGTCAAGGACTACCTGTATTTCAATTTGTGCTTTAGTGGGGCTCACAAAAAATAAACACGCACAGACAAGGGTAAAACAATTATTAATTAACACCACAAAAGCAGCAGCTAAAAAAAAAAATCAAACCAATCTGAGGGCCAGACTGAAAATGAAGAACCTGACCTCTTTTCTACAGGTAGTCCTTGATTTACAACAGTTCATTTAGTGACCATTCGAAGTTACAATGGCACTGAAAAAAGTGACTTATGACCGTTTTTCACACTTATGACCCTTGCACATCCCCAGGTTCATGTGATCAAAATTGGGATCTTTGCAACTGGTTCATATTTATGATGCTTGCAGTCTCTCGGGATCACGTGGTCTCTTTTGCAAACTTCTGACAAGCAAAGTCAGTGGGAAAGCCAGATTCACTTAACAACCATGTTACTGCCTTAACAGCTGCAGTGATTCACTTCACAAATGTGGAAAGATCGGGACAAAGTTCCTTAACAAATGTCTCACTTAACAACAGAAATTTTGGGCTCGGTTGTGGTTATAAAGTCGAGGAGTATTTGTATTGGCAGCTAAAGGGCTTGGAAATAGGCATCCATGGGGGAAGGAGGGGTCAAAAAGTCAAGAATGTTGGCTATGACCTCTTCCTCTTTACAGAGTTTTGATTGTTCAAGGCTTTGATGCCATCTCAACCTTTGACCCCTCTCCTGCTTGGAAGGGATGTAAAAGAAGGCTTGCCATCCTGCACTTGAGAAATGAGATTCTAAAATCTCTATTCTGTACTCATTCAAAAGAAAGGCAGGTTTTAGCTTCTAATTTTTTATTTTAAAAGTGGGAGGATCATCCTAAATTCACTGAGAAGATAGTAAAAGAAGCTGCCAATTCTTTTGAATGGAGTGGGTCATCTTAAATTCAGAGTCCTCTCCTTCCTGATAAATATAGCATTTCTATGTTTTATAATGTCCAATATAATATTCTCTCCCTGGGCATTAAATAAAGCTAGTATTATCATATTTTCAGTATTACTGGAATTTAACATTTTAACATTCACTTGTGGCAACTGAAAGAAAGGAAGTGTTTTACCATTATGAGTCTGTTGATAAAAAGCTCATGTTACCAGAGGTTTATAAATCAGCCTTCCATGATTAGTAACCAAATTCTAATACATAAGTCTTGATGCATTCATTTAAAAGGAGGAAATAAATCCACATATGTGCAGATGTGTTATCACATTTGAAATGAGTTTCATTTTACTTTTGTAAACTAATTTAACACATTTGCACTTCCTAAATCAATACACTAATTAGAACATAGTTAGTTTGGGGCAATTGTGCTCAGAATTTTGCAGTAAAATAATCCAGGACTCCTTAAAAATGAAGTGCTTGAAAGCATGCAGGAATGCAAATGAAACCTCAGTTTCTGAATCATTAAAGAGGTGATTGCAATCATGTAATCTAAACCCTACCCTTTTTAAAATGCCTTATTCATGCAACCCATGTAAAATAGTGATGGGGCTTCTCCTATGGAGTCATCTTTTTGCCTGTTTTTATCTTTCGCTGGATTTCCCTCCAGCTGTGTTTTTTTGAAGCTCAAACAGCTGTTTAAAACCACTTTTGGCAACCCTTCATCCATCTCTTTCAAAAGATTTGCAAAATCCTATTAATTTGCAAACTAACTCATCACAAAAATGTGTATCTAAGACAAAAGCATATAAAAACAACCATGTAGAATAGTATTATAGTAGAATAGTATTATAATTAGATATAATTATTATTTTTCTTTTAACAACCCTGTAATCCCTTGCATTAGGGTGGAGTCAGGGCAACTGAATAGAGCTGAGAGTTTACTGGCCAGATGCCCTCCCTGACACCTACACGGAGCTCACAGCAGATATTTTCCCTTTGTGCCCAGAGGGAGAAATATCTGCCACTACCTAGGACTGAACTTATAGCCTCCTGATTGTGAGACAAGAGCTCTACCTTTAGGGTACCGTGCCGCCCATAATTAGATATAATTATATCTATATTAAATGAAAAATGTAAAATATATATATTTTTAAATGGTTCATGGCTTTTTTGGCATGCACTTAAAAAAATATCATGCTTTAAGGAAGGACTTCTTCCTTAAGTTTTATTTCAATTTAAGCTCACCTTTTTTTAATATAATGTATATGAAGCAGGCAGAATTGCGCAGGAGGCAAAAGTCAGTTCTTAGAAGTTAAATTTCAGCCTTTCAGATGACTTTCAAAGATAGGTTTGATTGAGTGTTGGTGGGTAAAGGAAGAAAAATAATTAAAGATTTTAGAATTTTAGGATTTCTTTTAAAATATTTCCCATGATGTTCTGATTTTGGGACTGGGAAGGCTAATCAGCTAGCAAGATTTCCTTTCTTTCCCATTTGTCAATCTTCAGGTATTTTCCTCCTAACAAATAAGCACCTACCTTTAAAAAACCCACTAACACACTACTTGATCTGGCTTTCCCTACATGGAGCAAGGCTCTGTATTATTTGGACTGTGGGGAAATAAAAGTTTGAGCACTAATGTTGTATTATCCTGGGGATATGGGCTATTCTTTCATCTTATTGTGGTAAAGGTTAGCTGGTCATTTCTTGCACTCATAGTGACATTTGCTGCTGGAATTATCTTTATGTTAGGATCTGTTCTTTTCAAAGGAGATCAAGACTACAGACAACCTAACCTGGACAACTTATTCTCATGTTCAGCGACATGATTAAGAAAATAAAGTTTTACTATATTTTTACTCAAATATACACATAATATCAAAAGGTTTACTTGTGGCCTCCATGTCAAATACACATGTATCAAAGTTAGCAACAAATCTCAGGAATCAACTTCACTAGCCTGATGGAGAAAAAAATGCAGTTTAAAAAAACCCTAAAAACTGGTTATTCCTTCAAATTAAGGTGTTTGGTAAGTTAGGTTGAGGATGATGTGTGAGAATGCTGTTTTTTATTTGTTCCCTTGGAGTGACTGTGTTTTTTTCTATGAAATATTGCTTTCTTACTTTTTAATGTTGTAAAGCTGCTCAGAATCATTTAGCAGTTGAGTAGCCTAAAAATTGGATGGATGGATGGATGGATGAATAGATGGATGGATGGATGGATGAAACAGACAGACTTCCAGAATGCCATCTTTTGAACTATCTTGCCATGTCTTTATTTTGGATGTTTCTCCTCAGACATCTGCATTTCTCTATTATTAATTCAAGGGTTTTTTTGGTTTTTTAAAAAAATCAATTATCTCTTTTAAATCTTCTCTTTACAACCTTCTAATATATTTTTCAGTGTCACCTTTCCTGTAATAACTCTGAATGCCAAATTCTCAAAATAAAAAGGGCATACTTTTAAAAATAAATTATAAAAGAGTTAACAATCTCTAATTCAAATTTTTATGGCCTATAATTTTATTCTAACCTTAATCAAATCAGAATCTATTTAAAAAAAACAGAAACTATCAAATACTTACAACAGAACATAAATGTGACACATATCTTGTAAATTTTAATCTAAGGTAACAAACCTCTGATCTTTAGTCCTTCATGTAACAAAACCAGAAAAATATTTCAGTATTTTTCAATTATTCAGCTTCAGGATCAGACCAATTGGAACAATGTAGGCAAGGCCAAAAGTGGATCTCTTAGGGAGCAATTAGAATCTGCTAATGAGATTAAGAGAGGTTAAGCAGATAGCTGCTTTTTACCAGCCTTTCAAGTAATTCAGCAAAGTGAGGCAACCATAAAGGGCTGTTTATGAAGACTCAGAAGGTTAACAGAGATAAAAATAGCCAGTAAGAAGCTTGACCATACTTTTGCTTTTTAGCTTAAAAGGAATTGTTCATAATTCAGTCATCTTAAATTGTACATCTTATTCTCATCAAGGTCTATTACTCATGATTCTTTAAGTGCAACATCACAAGTTTTCTTGGCAATATAAATTAATTTGCCACTACCTACTTCCCTATTTTTTCAACTATTTCCTTTCCTATGAACTTTGTCTCTTCTGGGTCTCCCATTCAAACAGGAACCAAGATTATCCTCACTTAGCCATGATCAATTAGG